ACAACTAGTCAAATAGATCAATCCCATTTACAAAAAATAAGAAAATTATGTGTGGTGCGGACGACTCCTGTAGTCCCAGTGCTTGGGAGATGAGGCAGGGATTCTGCTTAACGCTGGAGTTCAGTGCGTAGCTATGATCAGCCCTGACACTAGCCTGGGACGTACAATTCGTATCTAAATAATATGAAAAAGTCATTGTTCTGAAAGCGTATCTGTGACAGTTAATTCTAGCTTAAGTTGAACATAAAGTTGAACTGTAGGTCCCAGCAACACATTCTAGGCACGATTTATTTATTTCTCTTTCCTTTTTTTTTGGTTAATCCTTGTCATATGGAACATTAAGTAATAAGTCTCCTTTATCTCCTTTTATTGTTCTATCCTTTTGCCTATTTAGTGTACTCTCCTACTCACCTTTAAGCATCAGATTTAACTTTAATAACTTCCAGTAAGAGGAAATTTAATAAACTTATTTTTATTGAATTTCCTTTTTTTTTTTTTTTTTTTGAGACAGGGTCTCACTCAGTTGCCCAGGCTGGAGTGCAGTGGCTGATCATAGCTCACTGCAGCCTCAAACTCCCAGGCTCAATTAATTCTCCTGCCTCAGTCTCCCTACTAGCTGGGACTACAGGCACGTGCCACCACACCAAGATAATTTCTTATTTTTTGTAAAGATGAGGTCTTGCTATGTTGCCCAGGATGGTCTCAAACTCCTGGTCTCAAGCAATCCTGCCTCCTCTCAAAGTGCTGGGATTACTAGCCTGAGCAAGAGTGAGACCTGAGACCCCCGTCTCTACCAAAAGGAAAGGAAATAAAAAACCCAGCCAGGTGTTGCAGTGTACACCTATAGTCCGAGCTACCTGGGAAGCTGAGGCAGAAGGATCCCTTGAGCCCAGGAGTTTGAGGTTACAGTGTGCTTACAATGATGCCACTGCACTCTACCCAGATGACAAAGTGAGATTCTATCTTAACAACAACAAAAAGGCAACTGAACACACCTCCTCACAATCCCCAACCCCTTAAAAAAAAAAATTGAAACTAAATTAGCCTTTTTTGATATTCTACTACAATCACTGTTTAAGATAATTAGGAAACGTTTATAAATCTTAAGAGGCTATGACTTATGGTTTGGGGAACAATATAATTCAGTTGGTGTTTATAATAATCATCTGCACTAAATTTTTTAACTTAATACCAATAATAATTCTCCTGGGTTCCAGTCTTTACTTTGCCATACTAGTTTTATGTCCTTGGGCAAGTCACTTATTCTCTTTGAGCCTATGTCCTGTTCTGTAAAAAGGTAGATGAGAAAAACCTTTCTAGTGTTAAATTTCTGAATTTCACACTAACATAAAAGCAATATTGTGCTGTATCTCTAATGAATTTTTGTATCTTCTTGAAAGGGATTTGTAGAGAGGATATTGTGTGTGTGAGGTGTGTAAGAGGCATTTAAAAACATCTTTCTGAGCCAGGCATGGTGGTGCATGTTCATAGTCCTAGCTACTCAGGAGGCCAAGGTGGGGGATCGCTTGAGCTCAGTTGGAGGCTGCAGTGAGCTACAGTTGAGCCACTGCACTCCAGCCTGAGTGACAGAGTGAAACTATGTCTCTTTAAAATGAAATGCTGGACACAGTGGCTCATGCCTGTGATCTCAGGACTTTGGGAAGCAGAAGTGTAAGAATTGCTTGAGGCCAGAAGTTCAAGACCAGCCTGGGCAACAGACTGAGACTCTGTCTCTACAAAAAATTAAAAGAAAAAAAAATTAGCCGGATGTGGTAGTGTGCAGACTAGTCCCAGCTACTCAGGAGGCCGAGGCAGGAGGATTGCTTGAGCCCAGGAGTTTGAGATTGCAGTGAGGTATGATCATGCCACTATACTCTAGCTGGGTAACAGAGTGAGACCCTGTCTCAAAAAAAAACTTTCTGAAGGAAGCATTTAATAACATGAATATTATATATAGCTGTGGTACTTCTCAGCACAAGCATAACAGCACATGCTTTTTAAATGATATATTAATATAGTAAATGCTATTATATATAAGTGCTGTTTATTAGTATATAACTAACACATTCTACTCAGTAACTTACATACTTAGCAAAGTAACAATAATAATCAGATGGGGAAAGCCTTTATTTCTAAATTTATGAAGTTGCAAGTATGCTATAAATTTCCTTTGTAGCTCTTTTTATAATTTTTGTGCTTTTCCTTCTACCATAACCAAGTGCTTGGGATTGATGTATCGGTAACTTTTTACAGCCACTTTTCAGCTTGAAGTGCTATGGCTTGACACTAAGGGAAGGAGAGGAAATGGAATAACCCTATTATCCAGCTATTGCTGGCCCTACCAAATTTATTTTCAGTTTCTTGTTGAGATATTAGCATCATCTTTCCTCCCTACATCTACATCTCTCAGATCACTTATAAAACTTTTTAGAGTATTCCCTCCCTACTCATGCCATTGCGTCCCTACTAAATGAAGCAAGCAAAAGGAGGGAGAGAAAGGAGAAATACAAGTTTAAAAAAATATTGATACAGTTGATTTTCATTATTCACAGTAGCTATATTCTATAAAGTTGCCATGAACAGTGAATTTGTGAATACTGAACCACTGCTCCTAGGGAAAATACAGGACTAGGTTCCAGGGAGCTTCTGGTTACATTTTCATCAACTGATCAATACATAACCTTATTTTATGCATTTCTGTTCAAAGACAGCTTATTTAATGTATATTATTGATTCATTGGCATTAAACTTATAGTCAACAGCACTAGAGTTCCAAAAATCCAAACTCCAAGTTGCTCCAGAATCTAAAATTTTTTTAGCACCACGCAATGCTCAAAGGAAATAGTCATTAGACCATTTCAGATTTTTCAGATCAGGGATACTCAACCAGTAAGTATAATGCATATATTCCTAAATCTGAAAAAAGTCAAAATCCAAATCACTTCTGGTCCTAAGCATTTCAGATAAGGATACTGAACCTGTGTAACTCTTTCCTGAATGAAGCTTATCTAGCACATGTATTTTCTCCATAAGGCCTTTATTCACAGCCAACACTAGGCTAGAGTTGCCGTGGCGTCAGCCTGGCTCACAGCAACCTCAAACTCCTGGGCTCAAGCGATCCTCCTGCCTCAGCCTCCCGAGTAGCTGGGACTACAGGCATGCGCTACCATGCCCAGCTAATATTTTTAATTGGCCAATTAATTTCTTTCTATTTTTAGTAGCGAGGGTCTCACTCTTGCTCAGGCTGGTTTTGAACTCCCAACCTTGAGCGATCCTCCCAGAGTGCTAGGATTACAGGCGTGAGCCACCACGCCTGGCCTACATTTAGTTTTAAAGCAAGAATTGGGCAGTTTGTGACTTGAGAATTATCTGGGATCTTTATAAAACCTTAAGCAACTGAAATTTGTTCAGGCTACTTTTAATTTCTAAACACCTAGCTATTGGTGAGATAGCTGTTGACTGAAATCTTTTTCTCCTACCCACTTTTTAAACTGCCTAACACCTGCCTTTTTATTTGCTTTAATGGGTTTTAGTTTTATTGTGTCTATGTCTTTTATTATAAGCTACCTGAAATCCCTTTTGGAATTAGGTGAAATATAAGTAAATGCATTTATTGATAAAAAAAATTTACATATATTTTTAGGATGGGAATGTCTATAGACAGATCTTCCACAGCAAAATTTAAAATGTGGAACTGTCATATAATAGTAGGAAAAGTCTTATGATGATTGGCTTTTTGCCATACTTGGAACACAATGTAAATAAAAAATAAATTTTTAATTTTGAACTTATTCTTCTATCTAATATTATGCATTGGTTCCATAGGCTTTGTAGCTGAGCAGTTTCTAAATAACACAGCCACTCAACTGACATACCATGGATTATGTGAACTAACTTCAACGGTTCAGGAAGGAGAACTTTGTGTGTTCTTTCGGAATAATCATTTTAGCACCATGACCAAATACCAGGTATGACATAGAAATACCTATTTAATTGTTATTCTAAATCAGAGGAGCTTGATTTAGAGATGTCTTTTGATCTGCTTCAAAATAAAAGATTTAAGCATAATAGTCCTTAACCACCAACTTATGAAGATAATTGTTAAATACAGTACTTCTTTAGGATGGATTAGATTAACAACTGAAGTGTTACCTCAAATCAGTTTTTGTTTTTTAATTCTAATCTTTTTCACAGATTACTGCATTAAGAAGTATTTATTGTCTTTTTGAGGAAAATAAAAAAGATAAACCTTAGAGATAGAACTAGTATAACTTCTAATGATGGAAGTTTATATTTCAGTACTAAAGGAATTTAGAAGAAAGGATTGAGATTTGCCTTTCTGATAGTGTTTGCTATTATTAAAGTTATCAGTAATGACTTTATATTCTTCTTATAGTGCCATTTATGGCTGTGTCAAAAAAAATCGTACTGATTCACCCTTTTTGTTGTCTTTTGTATTCATCCTTTCTGTGTTCACACCTTAGTTTCAGGAGTTCATCAACTTATACCTAGACCTTTGCAGTAGAATACTATTCTGATCATGTCAATATTATAGAAAAAATTACAGTAGCACCTAGTGCCTAGAGGATAAAAATGCAAGATATATTCTATTCCCATATGCCAACCCTTTGCTTTAGCCAAAGTGATATCTATTGATAATCCTCCATCCCATACATAGTTTCTCATTTCTGCATTGTTACTGCCATTTCTTACTCCTCAATCCCTATTTGGAAAGCTTTTCTCACTACTTTTTGCCTATCCAAATTTCAGCCATTTTTAAGAAGCGTTTCAAATCTAAACTCTTAAATAAAGCTATTCCTTCTTTCCTTAGACCAGTGGTTTCAACCTAGATTATATGCTAAAACTACCTGGGGAGCTTTTTTAAAAATGGCAGTCCTGGAACCTACCACCAACTCAATTAAATTAGAGTCTCTGGAAGTGAGACCTGAACATCAGTAGTTTTAAATGCTCCCCAGGTGATTTTAATGTGTGGCTAAGGTAGAAGATCACTGCTCTAACAATTCTCTAGCTGTTATTGGCCACCTTATCCTTATTTAGCCCTTATTGATTGGTTCCTAGTTACCAGTTTTCTTTCCATACAAATGTGTTGCCTTTTTCTAAATGAAAGTAGCTTATTGGAGTCATGAATTACATCTTCATATTTCTTTCAACAGTAGCACAATCATAGCTTACTATAAGCTCTACTACCTCAGCCTCCACAGTATTTGGGACTACAGGCACATGCTCTCACGCCCAGTTAATTTAAAAAAAAATTTTTTTTTTTTGTAGAGACGAAGTCTTGCTCTGTTGCCCAAGCTGGTCTCAAACTCATGGCTTCACACTGATCTCCCTCCTTGGCCTCCCAAAGTACTAAAATTACAGGTGTGAGCCACTGGGCCCAGACATCATGTTCAAATATTGAAGGATTCAATAGAGAGAAAAAGGTTAAAGATTCAGTAGAGGGGATAATTAATGTTAGAAGGGTCCTAAGAAAATGAGAAAAAAGGTAGAAATTTTCATAGGTAAAGGGGAAAGGACCTCTCTATTGTAAAGCAGTGAAGGAATAGCTGAGTATAGCTATAGGTCAATCTGTAGATCTGCTAGCAGAAAGTAGAGAAAGGTACTGCTTGAAGGCAAGATCATTTACTGAGATGGAATAGGGGTGATAAGGTATGATTCCAGATTTCAAGAAGTATAAATAGTCCTTGCAGCACATGGGAGAAAGCTTGGACTAGAGAAATCAAGAAAAATCACCAGGCAGTATTGACCATGGCAGTGGCGATATTGACCATGAATATGCCACTTGTGTGATTTTTCTGCAGGAGTATTTATCACAATATAGATACTGCAGAAGGTGACTAGTTTGTCATTCTAGATTTGGGGTTTGTTAACTGGGTGCAATAAAGAGTATAAGAACAACGGAGTTTAGGGACATGATAGTATTATGGACATAATGATATTATCCAAATTTATAGAGATAAATACTGCATAGAGCAAATAAAACACCATTCTTCTCTAAAGTAATCGTATTCTTACAGAAGAGATAAACGGGAACAACTATCCTGGTGGCCAGTCACTAGGAGAAATGCCCTTGTTTACCATAGTAATTACCAAACCAAAACAGTAACACTGTTTTTTCTTTTTTTTAATGAAAAATTACAAACTTACAGAACAGCAATAAGACATTTAACAGTTTTGATATTATGCTATTTTCATCTATTTTTATATTTTTGCTTATACTTCAATATACATCTCTAAACAAAATTTTATTTCAAACTACAGTATCATTAATGCATCTAACAAAATTAACTATAATTCTTTTTTAAAGACAGGTTCTTGCTATGTTTCCCAGTTTGTATTACAGTGGCATGATCATACCTCACTGTAACCTCAAACTCCTGGGCTCAAGTGATCCTCCTGCCTCAGCCTACAAAGTGGCTGAGACTACAAGCATGCCTGGCTAATTTTTTAAATTTTTTTTGTCGAATTAGGGTCTTACTGTGTTACCCTGGCTCATCTTAAACTACTGGCCTCAAGCAATCTTCCAGCCTCAGCCTTCCAAAGTGCTGGGATTATAGGCATGAGCCACTGCTCCCGGCCAACTATAATTCTTAATGTCATCTAATACCCAGCCCGTATTTGAATTTCCCATTTGCCCCCAAAATAGTTTTATGAATGGTTTGTTCAAATCAGGACCTAATCAAAGATCATGTATTGCATTTGATAGAGGAACTCCATTTTAATATGATTCAAATCTTGCGTTTTCCAGGGATCTTAAGGGCTTTAGGGCTATTTATTTATGCTCCACTATAATCCTTGGTTCTATTTCCTGTGTTCCCATTGTACCATCTTTCCAATCCTGAGAGTCTTTACATAAGACACTGATTTACTTCTGGCAGAGTATTCAGTGAGCGTATTCTTTATAAAGATCCAGAGACACTTCTTCCTTGACCCAATACTGATTTACAATAGAATTATAACATTTTGGCTGTTGGCATAGAACTAGAAGCCCTAAAGGAATACTTTTAAAAATACTAAGGGGTCTTCCTGTGATGAGTTTTTTAAAAGAAAAAAAAATAAAATAAAATAAAAAAATACTAAGGGAATGCTAAATAAAATCTAGGGAAGGAGTTCTTCCAACATGGTATCTATTTGCTTGATTAAGGAAATAGGGCAGAGGATTATGCCTTTGTTCTATTAAACATGTTTGGCATTAAAAGTGTTATTCTCTCCTACTAATTCCTGGATTGTTAGAGTGTTCATAGTTCTTTATAAACTTGAGCCCCAGGGAATCTGTGATCTAATAAGAATACAAGTAATGAAAAAAATAGAAAACTACTTTTTTCAAACAAGATATGGTTACTTTTTGTACTGCATTAGATCTTCCCAATGCTTTGTAACATTTCACTATTGAGAAATTCTGAGTTTTTAGGGCCATTTTATGTATTCATATTTAATGATCCCTTTATTTCCCATCTTCCTGTCCCTATAAACTCTTTGGAACATCTATACTGTAAACACATTTCATCTCACAGAATTCAAGATATACTTTCAACAAACAATAAATTTAACATCTGGATAGAATGCTTTTCTACTATATACAAGTGGTATTTATAACTAGGGGCTTATAATAATAAATTGCCAATCTATAATAAACTAGCAATCAGCCATAAATATCTATAACTATATTATATGATTACTTGGGCTAATTTTTATTATTTTCAGAAAGATCTTTGCTTTCTGGTGCCCATGATCATATCATATGTCATTATCATCTCAAGAACTAGCCCAATAAAGAAGTCCATGATGACAGGACAAAAGTGATTATCAAAGGTCATCTCCAATTTATTTATTGGTTGTACTAATTTCCTTAGGAATTTACTAAACCCTATTTATGAAAATCTTTTGTAATCCAAGTCCTTTGGAACTCTCTCTAGAGTTCCAAATGAGCTGTGAGCTGTGCATGAGCTGTGGGCTTTTGTTTGACCAGAGGGGAGATATATGTGCTTTCTGGTCTATTATGACATTCTCCGCACTACATCTGTTCTGACTCCTATCTCTAGATACTGGATAGAGGCAGGGGCAAGATCTCCATTAGGTTAGACTTTTTAGTGACCCTCTACACTCATAGACGTTTTGCTATTCTATACTGTAATTATATAAAGGAATTTTTGAGGAATAATCTGCATTGTTGACAGTGAACTGGTTATGGGGTATTTTTGGATAAATGTCAAGATCTAAAAGAGGAAGAAATTGACATTGATGTTCCATGAGAAAATAGGTCAGGTATACCAAGAAAGGAACATTCTTTTAGTTAAAATTTATAAATATTAATATGTTGTGGATGATAATAGCTTTCAGTAGAAACCCTCCAGAATTTACCCATCCTGACATGTCATTTGGAGGAAAATTATTAAGATTATGGTTAACAAGCATCCAATCTAATATGTGACCTACATAAAAAAAATTGTGAAACTTAGATATTATATCATAATATAAAATGATGCATTGAAATTTGTTGGAATAAGTATAAACAGAAGGGTCAGATCTATTCAGTGGAAAATTAGCTGGAAAGAATTTTCATTTTTCTCTTAAATTATCATAGGACAAAGTAGACCCTAACTGGGTATTAAAAATTAGAATGAAGATATGTGGGTGAATAAAACATGGCTCTGGTATTCAACTTGAAATGTGTTAGAGGAGATAAATAAGTAAACAGACTACAGTTCAATATATAAAGTGCTATGATAGTGGTAAATACAGGATTGTATTTAATCACATAAAAGAGGCACCTATTATCAGAGTGAGATGGTTACATTACTGTCCATCATATGAATCCCCAAACATAATGCTGAGCATATGGTAGACATTTAAATATTTGGTGAGTTGTAACATACCTGATTTATTTTTAAAAACATAGACCTGGATTTTATTTTTTCTAAAGTTTCAGAATTTACTCAATAATTTCTCTGTCACATCACTTTTTAGGAATTTCTAAATTCCTAAACTCTTTTTAGGAATTTCTTATTCTTAATTATTAAGATTCATTGTGAATAATAAGAACATGAACAGTATGATTCCTGTAATAAACATTAACAGTGAAAACTCTGAACAAGTAACAAAGTCATATTCTTGGCAAATCTAAAGGAAAAAAATGGCTTATAAACCTTATATGATATACTAGGGACATAAATTTTATATATGATTGGAGTCAGAACTAGCACATATGAAAAATTAAAGGGCAGTGCTAAATTCTGTGGGAGTGACTATAAATGTATTATGTGTTCATTGATTGATTTAATAAATATCAGATTCCAGCTTTACAATGTATCATATATTAGGCCCAAAGATACAGAGTTGTGGTTTTTTTTGGTTTTTTGTTTGTTTTTGAGACAGTATCGCTCTGTCACCCAGGCTACACTGCCATGGCATCAGCCTTCCTCACACTAACTAGCTCAGACTAACTCCTGGGCTAAAGCTATCCTCCTGCCTCAGCTTCCAGAATAGCTGGGACTACAGGTATGTATCACCACGCCCAGCTAATTTTTATTATTTTTAGTAGAGACAAGATCTTGCTTTTGCTCAGGCTGGTCTCAAACTCCTGACTTCAAAAGATCTTCCCACCTTGGCCTCCCAGAGTGCTAGGATTACAGGCATGAGCCACCATGACTGGCCTCAGAGATTTAAAAGATCAGGCAGAAAAACACAATCATAGTGCCCTGTGATTTGGTGCTACAATAGAGGTAGATACAAAGTACTATTGGTATACAAAGCAAAAGTAACTAATGGTGCAGAGAAAAAAAATTAATATGGATTGAATTAGTCATAAACTTAATTTTTTAAAAAGGCAATGTGGTATCATTTTTTGTGACTGTGTCCTAATTGTTATATAGTTTTCTATTTTATGAAATGAGATCATACACCCCCCCAAGCTGTTTATAAGTCATATATTAGTTGAACATGCCACGAACTCCTATTTCTCATTATACTATATTGTGCAAATTATAAACTATATGCAAACCCAGGTCGATTTGAGCAAAATATCTACTTGGTCTATTTATTGTGTTATGCAGATCTAAATAGTAGGAATAATTAATATATTCTAAACATAGATTATAAACTTTTCCTTAAATAGTATATTAACTAGTTTTAATCTATTTAACACTCCTTTTTCTTCTGTTATTTCATATTAAGGGTCAACTGTATTTGTTGGTAACGGATCAGGGATTTCTTACTGAAGAAAAAGTTGTTTGGGAAAGCCTACACAATGTGGATGGTGATGGAAATTTCTGTGACTCAGAATTTCATCTGCGGCCTCCTTCAGATCCTGAAACTGTATACAAAGGACAACAAGATCAGATAGATCAGGTAAGTTTGTTTTGTCTTCCTCATGTATTATTTAAAGTGCCTGTTTTTTTTTTCAAATGTGAATTCAGTTATCTAAAACTTTTGAACTAAAGATTAATTCATTAATATACTTGTGAAATTTTCCTGACACTTCTTTAATAGATAGCTGATCATTCCACATATACATTAATTATTCAGTTTGGTTCAGAAAGCCATATCATACTGAACTGTGAAGGTTAGGGTAGGAGTTTGAATTTTATACTAATTGCAGTAGGGAAGCTATGCCAAGTATTAAACATGGAAGTGACATGATTTACTTTACCTTTGTAAAAGACTGCTCTGTGGTGAATGCATAGCACGCGTGCAGGTCCAAACGGAAACCAGTAGTCCAAGCAAGAGGTGAGGATGGCTTAGCTTTCAGTGGTAGAGATGAAGAGATGAGCATGTATTGAGATACGTATTGACTAGTCAAAAAACATAGAAAAGAGGGAATGTAGAAGGTAGCATGTACTGGGTAAAGAATAGAAGGATATTCTAAGCCTTAGAGTGCAAGGTAAGGAGGGGTAGATACAGCAGGAGCTGCACTATTGAGTAGAACTTTCATCTATAACCGAGACAGATGAGATTTTGGCCTGCTATAGGTGGACAGGCTTGGAGCCATAAGCATGTTTACTAGAAGTATGATGGTGATGTGAATTCTTCCCTGATTGAGGCAGAAATGCGGTTATGTTAAACAGTTGGCACATATTTCACTGATAACAATTTAAGTGCACAAAGACTGTTAAATTTAGCCAATATTCAATGAGCAATTTTATTCCTGGCACAATAACTAGGTCCTAGGAATACAAAAATAAACCACTCAGTTCTATCCTGAAAGATGCTGCCGTCTAGGCCAGGCATGGTGGCTCACGCCTGTAATCCTAGCACTCTGGGAGGCTTAGGCGGGTGGATTGCTTGAGGTCAGGAATTCGAAACCAGCCTGAGCAAGAGTGAGACCCCGTCTCTACTATAAATAGAAAGAAATTAATTGGCCAACTAATATATATAGAAAAAATTAGCCGGGCATGGTGGCGCATGCCTGTAGTTCCAGCTACTCGGGAGGCTGAGGCAGGAGGATTGCTTGAGCCTAGGAGTTTGAGGTTGCTGTGAGCTAGGCTGACGCCACAGCACTCACTCTAGCCTAGGCAACAAAGCGAGACTCTCTAAAAAAAAACAAAAGATGCTGCCGTCTAGTAGGGGAGGCAGATAGTTGACCAACGAATATCATTTATATATGTTAAGTTTTTGGTTTGTTTGGAGTTTTTTTGTTTTTGTTTTGTTTTGTTTTTGGCAAGGGAGGGGGAGTTTGTTTTGTGAGACCTCACTCTGTTGCCCAGGCTAGAGTACAGTGGTGTCGTCATAGCTCACTGCAGCTTTGAACTCCTGGGCTCAAGAAATCTTCCTGCCTCAGCCTTGCAAGTAGCTGGTACCACAGGCATGTACCACAACACCTGGCTGATGCTTTTTTCTTAATGTGTTGTAGAGACGGGGGTCTTGCTATGTTGCCCAGGCTGGTCTTGAACTCCTGGCCTCAAGCAATGCTCCTGCCTCGGCCTCCCAAAGTGCTGGGATTATAGGTGTGATGCCACCATGCCCAGCTATATGTTAAATTCATAGCAAGCTATAAGTTTGGAAAAGAATATTAGTTCAAGCAGATGCTAATCTTCCTAGGACTTTGAAAAACAGTGGTGATAATCAATGTGCTCATTTTCCTTCAGAAGCTATACAGGAGTGTTGTTTTTTAAATGTTACTTAAGAGAAGTGTTTAAAATTTTTCTAACCATTGTATGTAAAAAATATTGGAACAAAATAAAATTAAAAAATAAAAAATATTGGAGCAGAGGCAAAGCAATAGATTCTCACAGTAGTCCAATTGTAAGGTGTTGAGATTAGGGTCTATGGAAGTGGCAGGAGAGGTGGATTCAAGACCATAGGGCTTGGTAAAGACCAGAGTTTGAAGAAGTGAGAAAATTTTGAAAGACAAATTCTTGATATCAAAGTATGACAGTCATGCCAGTCATAGTACAAGGACCTTTTTACATGTGCTCTGAGCTGTTTAAAATTCACGTATTTTGAAGGTAGAGGGAGGAGGCGTGCACACAGAGTAGTCAAGTTTCATTCATTCAGCACCAGCTCGTAATGAGGTGGATTGCAAGTTAAATAATACAATGTTTGACCACAATGCACCACTTTTTCTCATAGGAAATAATCTGAGTGTGTACATAATCTTTTAGAAGAATATTTAATAAATAATCTTGGGAAAGTTATGTTTTTAAAATAGAAGACTTTTATGACATTAAATGGAAAAGAAAACATTACAGTAGTTTCAGAGGGTTGGGGATATTTGAATTTGTATTTGAATTTGTATGTGAATGTAGGAAAATATTAGGTGGATAGATATTGGGGGGGTTGTTTGTTTTGGGGGGATTTTTTTTTTTGAGATGAGACAAAGTCTCGCTTTCTCGCCCTAGCTAGAGTGCAGTGGCGTGATCATAGTTCACAGCAACCTCAAACTCCTGGGCTCCAGCGATCCTCCTGCCTCAGCCTCTTGAGTAGCTGGGACTACAGGTGCCCACCACTGTGCCTGGCTAATTTTTTTATTTTTAGTAAGAAATGCAGTCTCACTCCTGCTCAGACTGGTCTTGAACTCTTGAGCTCAAGCAGTCCTCCCACCTCAGCCTCCCAGAGTGGTAGGATTATAAGAGTGATAGTAATTCCTTGACCAGCCTGATATTAATTGTTAACAGTAGTTATCTCTGTGTAATGATATGGTGATTTTTTTCTTTTTTTCTTTCTTTTTTTTAGTGTCCCTGGGTGAGCTTGAAGATATATTTAAACTTTCTTATTTGTGGTTTTCTGTTTTGTCTGAATTTTCTACAGGCATGTGTTTCTTTTGTAAATGGGGGGGGGCTTTTTTTGTTGTTGTTGTTAGCTTTCTTGAATGCATTATATGCTGCCTCTAGAAAGAATTTCAAATGAGTTCCAAAAATATTTAGAACAATGACAACATCACTGAAATAAGTTCATAGCTCCCCAAGGAAAATACTTAGAAAGATTACTTTTCATTTTAATATTTAAGCTCTGGTATATTTTTTTTAAAAAACCATTCTCATAGCTTTATAGATATAACATCTATATTTGTACACATCATTTCTTAGGACTATCTTATGGCATTATCTCTACAACAAGAACAACAGAGCCAAGAGATCAATTGGGAACAAATTCCGGACGGAATCAGTGATCTGGAGCTAGCAAAGAAACTCCAAGAGGAAGAGGATAGGCGGGCTTCTCAGTACTATCAGGAACAGGAACAAGCAGCAGCAGCTGCTGCTGCTGCTGCTGCTTCTACATCTACGTCTACGTCTACTTCTACTTCTACTTCTACACAGCCCCAGGTAAAAACTAGTGTCCTGATTCTTAAACATGATGATCACTTTAGCAATAAAGAAACTTCTGCCTGAGATAACAAATTTTTAATTAGGAATTGACTCTTCAATTATGTTAGGATGTTAGCACCCTGGATTTTATGACATTGTCTCAAATTTGTGACTGTTCTGTTTCTCACTTTATTCAAATAAAATTCTTTTTCTTGAGGTTCTGATTTTGAAAATTATTCTTTAAGTTCCTAATATCTGCAAAGACAATAAACCAATTTGAATAAAGTCCTTTCTAGCAACTAGAGGGCAATGTGAGGTTCTACTGGAAAGAATATAGACTTTGGAGCTAGATAGATGTGGATTTGCCTTTCCTTCTTCTTTCTCTCCTTCCTAGTTGCAGCACCTTGGACAAAGTCTTATACCTCATTTTTCCCTATCTGTAAAATAGAGATAATAGTTAATTCTTAGGTTTGTGGTGAAGAACAAATAACGTTAGCACTTAACCCAATGTCTGACATGTACTAGGTATTCAACAAAGGTTAGCACCTTTCCACTTTTCACTTTCCCCAGTTAACTGTTTTAAGCACTGAAAATATTATGGTGGGATCCTACATGTTAAGTCTCACTTCATTAACAAAAAGTATTCCCCTTCTTTTATGTTTAGCTGTACTATGCCAGAATTTTTCCTTTTGGTTTAGGGTATATGAGAAATGTTGATTTGGGTATATAAGAAAGCAAGATGCCCTTTAAGGTCTGAAAAAACTAAATATTAAATATATTATTGTTAGGATTCTTTACACAAAAGAAATAAAACCCAAATATAGAAATCCCCGTTAGGCCAGGCGTGGTGGCTCACGCCTGTAATCCTAGCACTCTGGGAGGCCAAGGCGTGCGCATCACTCAAGCTCAGGAGTTCAAAACCAGCCTGAGCAAGAGCGAGATCCCATCTCTACTAAAAATAGAAAAGAAATTAATTGGCCAACTAAAATTATATAGAAAAAATTAGCCGGGCATGGTGGTGCATGCCTATAATCCCAGCTACTGGAGAGGCTGAGGCAGAAGGATTGCTTGAGCCTAGGACTTTGAAGTTGCTGTGAGCTAAGCTGATATACGGCACTCTAGCCCCGACAACAGAGTGAGACTCTATCTCAAAAAAAAAAAAAAAAAAGAAATCCCCATTAAAATAAGTATAACAATTTCTATTTCTAAATTAAATATTGACTACCCCAAGTTTAATAGTTAAATCCTACCATATTATGATGAGTGAGACTCCTATCTCAAAAAAAAAAAAAAAAAGAAATCCCCATTAAAATAAGTATAACAATTTCTATTTCTAAATTAAATATTGACTACCCCAAGTTTAATAGTTAAATCCTACCATATTATGATGAGCTTTTCACTCAAAAAGGTGTCTTGCTTCACAGAATACGCTTATTCCACACTATCAGTTCTCAGGTTTTTGCTTTTGTTTTTTCTTTTTAAAATCTGTTTATTATGGGTATTTAATGAGGTCTTGAAGAGCTATTACAGTTTACCAAAATGTGTCACTTTCTTTAACATTTTCTAAACTTTGACATAAATATTTCTTAAACTTAAGGTTTCAGTCAACATAATTTTACATATTATTTGTTGTTTGAAATTCCATTTATTTAGAATAATGAATATATAAGTTACATCCAAAATGGTAGAGGTGATTGCTCAAATATCATTTAATATATAACAAATCTATACACCAATAGTTTCTTTTTCCATCAATGATTTGTTTCACTCTTAGGGTCTTTCTTTATAGATAACTATGAGTAAGCACCTTGGAATAGTTAGAGTAATTTCTTCCTGTGTATTTTTCTTAAAGCAGAGCCAGCCAGCACAAGCCTCTCCATCAAGTGGAAGACAATCTGGGAATACTGAACGTAAACGGAAGGAACCTCGAGAAAAAGATAAAGAAAAAGAAAAGGAAAAAAATAGCTGTGTCATTTTGTAACAAGCATTGGATTCTGTTGGAACCACCTATATGTCTTGAGAAACAAAACCACAGGAGGAAAGAAAGAAAAACCGATAAATACCGTCTGTGCCTGATTTCCCAATGGATTTTGTTCATGTTTTTCAGGGGAAAGGTTGTTACTTAGTTACAATCAGACTTTTTCAAGTCACACAATACACTCTTTATGAGCTGGAGTTTCATGTTACATAAGTTGGAAATGCTGTGTGTTGTCATTCATGAAAAATACTGCACTTGTAGCCAAATAAGCAAATCACAGCAAATTTTGTGTCATAGTGACATTCATAACTCATATCAGTTAGTAAGCTATTTTATCTTCTGTTCTAACGATGAATGGAAGTAATTGATTTAATCTGATTCCTTCCTGAAATTTAAATATTAGCACAATAGTTTCTGAAATTTTTACAATGTTAAATTATGATCTAACCCAGGAGAAACCAGGGGTTTAATATAGGAATTTAAAAAGCAAAAATAAAAAAAGACAAAAAAAAAATAGCAGGAATAAATAACCCTTAATTGTATATTGGACTAGTTCAGCCCTTGAACAGCTTTACCTTTCTTTAGGAATGTACATTTTAGATATTATCTTGAGAACTGATAATGGAGCTAGGATTTAATTTAGATAGAAAAAATAAAGATTTGTATTTCTTTTCCAATAGCAAAAAATTACATAACACTATTACTTATAACCTGTCAAAATCAGATATTAATGATTTTGTAGTGGTGTAAAATTTTGAGGAATTTTGAAATCTTTAATATAGGTAACCTGGACCACAGTTACTATTTATTGACAATGTGATGTGACTGTAATGAGGAAACCACAGTGGATGCTAGGCCTTGTAAATATGGGGATGTAGAAAAGCAGATAGTTCAGTGTCTACCTTTTTCTAGAATTACCTTGAACCTTAAATTTTAAATCATGTTTATTGCTAGAAAACTAAGTATACTTGTTAAAAAACCAACACAAAAGCACATTTCTGAAAGGAAGTTAGAAGAAATCTCTGAATCTAGTGAAAAGATAGTAAAAACCTGTTTGAGAGTAGCTAAGAATTTGAAGGAATTTATGTAAAAGCAATCAGATTTTATAATTTATGGGAACCAAATAAACCTATAACATCTTATAGTATTTATAGGATTCAGAAAGAATATTTATTTAACTTTATTATGAGGCAACACATATTTTCCTGTATTTTTAGATATAGTTTAGAAAACTATCCTTAATAGTCCTTTTTATATGCTTTATATTTAAAAGTTTGTTTTAGTCATTTTTGAAAGACTATTGCTGCTGCAAGTAGTTGTATGATTTACATTCTAAGCTTCCTTAAATTTATTTAAGAGCATCATTATCTGACCTGAGCATCCACTTAGAGAATGTTTTTTGTGGTCCGGGGTGACAAAAAAGTACATAAAAGTGTGGTCTAGATTTTTTTAAGCTATGTCATTAACTTTCTCCATGATCCAAGACCAGTTATTGGATGAGTCTCTATGTGAAAAATAAAATCTTATTTATGGAAGGAATTACTCTAAGGGAAAAATCCAGGGTCAAGCTGTATCTTTTATGTCCTTCTATATTGCATGTCTACTTATGTTATAACATTTATTATTTCTCCAAATTTCCTATGCTAGCATGGTAAATCATCAGAGAACCTGTTTGGGGCATAAAACTTTGATAGAAAATGTTTGGTGAGTATCTTGATTATAACCCAGAATATGTGTACATTGGTAAAATAATCAGATATACTGCAGAACTCTGTTGGCTCAAACAGGTTGACTTCAATCCAGGTTTACTCTTGATATCACTCTATTGGTTGAAGGAAGAAACTCAAACCTCGGGGTTGGTTTTTCCCCAGAACAGATAGTAGTGATAGTGCGTTATATTTTAATAATAAAAACAAAACAGTAAACCTTGAGAAATTTTTCAAAAGCATATTTGAGGCATATTTTTTCATAATTATATACTTACCTATTGCCCTTGAAAAATATATGTGTAGAAGTTATTCTTCTGTTATTTGTTACTATCTTCTTAATTTGTTCCAAAGATAATACTGCCATTCTGCATTCCGTCTGGAAGGGGGGAAAAAAACCCTCAAACCCAGCAGTGCTGCTATCAGATAAGTAGATGTCAATGTATACTTACAAGAAAAAACTAAAAAAAGTAATGTTTGTTAATTCAGCCTTTTTCTATGTAATATTTCCAAGTCAGACTTTCTTACATTCCTGGAATTCAGTTTGATATACCAAGAGTAATAATGATAAAATGTTCACTTTGATTACTGTGGGGAGAAAAATTACATGTTCAATTCTATTAAAAGAAACTTCTCAGAGATACCGGTTTCCTGTCCTTGAGGATTATAAAGAATTTAGAGCTATTGTGTCTTTATTTTTTTATATTTTGCTCGAGGTAAGTTATATATTCATTCATTTCATTGCTGGTTTGGGTACATAGGAATACGTTAGTGGTATATTAAAGTCTTTCCTTCACAGTATTTTGTAATACTTGAAAATTGTTACATGTACACTGCTAGCAGAAGTTAGAATTTAAACATTTTTGTTTTTAATATTTATAGGCTAGATTAGGGGCACATTTGCATCAACGAAATCACCATTAGACCTAGCAAAAGAGGCAGATAAATGAATGGATATGGTCACTGCACCTTCCTTTTACTTTCAAAGCCTATTCCTTAAGGTTAGTGGCCAGTCTTTATTAACAACATGAAAATGTTCTTCATGTCTAATCCTATCATATCAATAATGCTGTGATTTATAGTAGATTATCAACACTTAAAAGTATTCAGTGTGTGTATGTTTCTGATGCAAGTTTTCATCACTTTTATCAGATTCTCAAGGGAATCAGGAACTTTCCCTCAAATTTTAAGAACCACCATTTTAAGAATACGCACACATTTACCTACATATGCTCACACTAAGCAGTGTGGGGTCGCTAACACTGGCATTGGCTGTTCACTAGTCCGTGTGCTTAGGTGAAGTAATTTCTTCCATGTTTCAAGGTCAAGTTAGTTAGTAGTTGAATGAGGCATAGATTTAAATTTAGGATTAGGCTTTGGAATATATCTTTTTTAATTGTCTCACATGTCCAGTGTTTCACTACTTATCCCATATTATGTTTCAAATTCTTCCTCATACTTCTTGATCTTGGCTTAACTAAGGAAGTTAATATCAGATTAGTTGACTAAACTGAAGATTAACCATTTTGTGCTTGTACAAAACCTTGTTAGCATTTTGTTTTCAGCGAATCATAAACTCAGTTCACTAAGAAACAGAAGATCATGAGAGGAAAGAGAACTGGAAGGCAAATAAATATTTAAGGAAAGAATAATTGTAGTCAGTAAATTAATGTTGGCATATGAAGCAGATATTTGTAAAAATCCTGCTGGAGAAAAATCTAGGCAAGAATTTCCAGAACTGTCCTCACATTTATTTAAACTTTTTTTAAAAAGCAAAAACCAAATTGATTACATTTTGATTAACTTTCCTATTTCATGTACCACTTAGTTTAAAACATGAAGGTAAACTTATAGGCATTACCGATCACACAGTACTTAGACCAGTGTTTGATAAGATGGAGGCATCAAAGATAGTCTGTAATTTACATTTAAAGAAACTGGGCATGTGGAATTCTGGATCATTTTGTGTCCCAAAACCTGTTTCTGTCTTGCCTTGGGCATACTTTCTGTGCCTCAATTTACTCTTTAAATATGTGAAGGATGCTCTTTATGTAAAAAGGGCATAGTATAAGCACAAAGTATTACTTAAATTGTCACAAATATTACACATCTTTTGCTCTTGGATATGCAGACTTTTTTCCCCAATGACATCATGTCTCAAGTCAGGTTTTTTTTTAATGCTGTCAAAATTTGTAGAATTGTCTTGTCTTTGAATATGGCATCATCTCTTTCTAAAATATACTTTAGAGTTGCTTTTGTGTTCTGTAGACTATAGGGTCAAAATCAAGAGTATTTTGGAAGTTCAAAAGCATTTAAAATCTATTGGGTCATTAAATATGAAATGTCTGGTTTCAAATCAATTAGTTTATTATATCTCAAAAACAAGAAGCAGTACAATGAATCAAAGTATGCGCCTAAGCTATCGACACAGTTTCGCCATCTTAATGGTAGCTGGCTTATGCCAGCAGTGTAGAAACAAGTGACGATGAAATCGTGAGAGACATTTTCCACAGCTTCTTGAGGATTGAATATTTTTCCTTGCAAAAAGGGATCCAAAGCCTGAACGAAGTGGTAGTCAGTTGGTGAAGGGTCTGATGGAGAGTTTCCAAGTCCAGCCTCTGTAGTTTGAGGAGTTTTGTTTTTTGTGACATGTTGTCTTACAAGAGGACTAGCCTGTCTCTTTTGACCAATCTCAGCTGCTTAATGGCAAGCACCCTCATCATTTCATCCAATCGGTTGCAGTAGACGTCCACTGTAATCGATTGACGAGGTTTCATGAAGCTGTAGTGGATAATACCAGCACTGGACCACCAAACAGACACTATTAGCTTTTTTTGATGAATATTTGGTTTTGGGCTGCGCTTTGGCACTTCATCTTTATCCAGTCATTGTGCTGAATACTTAAAATTGTCAAAAAGAATCTATTTTTCATAACAATACGGTGTAGAAATGTTTCACATTTATGTCATGACAGCAAAGAAAGGCAAGCTTCAGGACCATGTCTCTTCTGACCCTCATTTAATTCATGCAGTACCTATGTGTTCAGCTTCTTTACCTTGTCAGTTTGTTTCAAATGATCCAATATTGTTGCAATAGTGACATCAAACCTTGCTACTAATTCGCACATAGGTTGAGATTGACTCACTTCCAATACAGCTTTTGGCTCATTATCCACCTTGGTCTCAGGTCACCCACATGGCTCACTTTCAAAATTAAAATCTCCAGAATGGAAATTCTCAAGCTGTCGGTGTACCATGCATTCCGTAGCCACATCCTTCCCAAACACTTGATGGTACTTCGAGCACTGTCTGCACTGCATTGGTTCCATGATGGAACTCATATTCAAAAATAACTTATCAGTGTCAAGGACTCAATATAAATACAAACAAAAAATAAAAATAAAAAAAAAAATAACTTGAATTTTTTACTTTATCCATGGTTTCACAAAAATTGCTCTAAAAAAAATGTGAAAGATAATCACAAGCCAAAACATGCATTTGAAAGACTGAGGATATACCTTCACAATAGGGGGAAAAAATGAGAAGTATCAAAGTGTCAGAGGTATCAGATGTCAAACTTAGTACTTAAGGAAATCAGACATTTCATACTTAACAACCTAATATTTCCCCCCCCTCCCAATATCTTTCACAGAGCTAAATATTTAGATTCTCTTTGCCTTTTCCTTCATGGAATAAAGTACAATGGCATCTGGTTACCAATACGTGCAGTATAAAATTTTTGCATAGGTGGAATTCATTTAGATCTCTCAAGTACTATCTTAGGGTTATTTCAATTATTTGTATTTTTCAGTGTAAAATATTATTTGGTAATGTGCAGTTAAATTCCTTTTAGAAGTGATTGAAGATAGTAAAAGAGCTCATCGGAATCTTAGAGTTCTTAGGTTCTCTGATAATTTAGTGTCTTTTGTTAGTGATGTCCAATACTTAAAAAACTGCTGGAAAAACATGAAGAATTGATGTTACTCTTCTCAGGTAACACTTTTAAATAAACTAAAATTTAAAATCAAAGGCTTCCTGAACAAAATAAATTACAAAATTGAGATAATGGAATGTGAAAGACAAATTGTAAGACTCTGGTAAGCTTAATTTATTTTGAAGATCTATCTAAAAATTTCATTTCATGGCTCTGAATCCTAGTGTTTCTGCTGTTAGAAATTAGAGTTTAATAAATTGTGATATGCATTTTTTACATGAAAGATTCTAGTTTCTAATTTCACTTTTCTGATCTCAAGAAAATAAAACATGAAAAACAGGGTAAAATTCTTCAACTATTATTGCACTCAGGTTCAGCTTTGTCCTATCGTCCTGAGAAAGGAGATTGAGACTTGTCTACCTAACACAGATATATTTTAGGGCATGGTACTATCCCAGAGAAGGTGTTGAGATACCATGTCAGAAATATAAAACTTAAGCTTTGAACCACGTTTAGATTTAAAGAACAAAAAGATGTATTATTATTTTACAATAAGTCTGATATTCCAAGGGTTTCTTCAAACCACTTAATAACTTGTCACCGTTAACTTTAAGAACCACTTTAATCCACACTGTCACACCCTGCTTTGAGAAGCAAGGATGCCTCATAAATTAGAGGATGCACAAAGCGGAGTTCTGTGGAAGGTGATCCTGGCTCCTTTGGCTCTCATAGTTATTTTACAGCTTTTAATAGGAAGTCAGGAAACTGAAATGCTCATTTAAATTCCCAAATCAGTGACCTGTCCAAATGGGCATTGTAGCTGAAATAACTTACAAAACAGTTCTCACTAATGCAATGTGTTTTAAGACTAAGATTAGTATTTAATCATTGAAGATCTGTCTTGTATGTCTCTCAACTTTGTTAAGAGTTTTTATTGTTTTTTACATGCAACTTGTATGAAATAACCATTTTTTGTCCAGAGTATATAGGATATCTTAGCTTTACAGATGTTTAAAGGTGAGGTTTTGAAAAGCCTCCAATGGTTTTTGTTAAAAGACTGTCTTCCTTAATAACATGACAACTTGTTACAGATCCACACATTACAAGTAGGACAATATAGTAAAAGATTGTTGTATAATTGCTACACAGTAGTCAGCAAAAGGGATAATTTTAGCTTGTAGAACTTCAGAGGTACCCTGAAGTCATTTTCTAAAGCTAGTGCATGCGAATATTTTTCCTTGAACTGTGCAGAATAATTGGATGGAGGCACATATTTTGGGGAGTAACAAAGGGAATGGTATAATGACTGCAGGAAAAATAATCTTGAAATATAGCCAGAAAGTGAAACAAGTTTTCTTCTTCCACTTTACTGTCGGACTAATTGGATCAAGAATTTGTTATGACATATCATAGATCTCTTTGTGCTAGGCCAAGATTGGCCAGTTGAGTTCTCAAAGAGTTTATATATAGATTGTATATGAGTGCTTATTTTTCCTCCTTTCATTTTCTATCTTAATACCCTTTTGACTTCTGAAATTATTTGTTTTGCTTTATGACCAGCTTTAATTTCAATTAAAGAATAATAGCAACTCTAGAGATTAACAGGAAAGAATATTGAAATACATTTTCTGAATAAAGACACCTAAAACCGTCTACCCAGCTTAGCCTTGAACTGAACTGTGAAATAAATTTATGTTTCAAATGCTAATTATGCTAAAACTAATTCTTTAAAAACTGTGTCTTAAGTTTCAAAAGTTACACTTTGGGGGGATATTCCTAAAAAGACATTTTGAACATAGATGAGAAAGTATAAAATATTTCTGACAGAATTATTCAGTATTATTCAACATTTAATTTCATGTTTGTTATTGTACCACAAGGGTAGTGTCATTGTTGGATTAAAATGTTGGATGTTTTTGTTAATATACTTAAAACTGTAAACAGTGAATAACACCTGTAGTATTTTTTATTATAGATTATATTTTATTTCAATAAACTTTGATATTTAGACCAGTCTTTCTGCTATGTATATTCATGTCATTAAGCTACTTCTTACAAAGTTAAGATGACGGAGGAGAATTAGCATACTGATTCACATTTATCTAGGATTAACTCTTAGAATACTTGAACCAACTTTTGATAAAGACAGATTTTCCCCTCATCCCAGGCAGTAAAAAAAGCAATTAACTCTAAACCAAATAATAGTCCATTACCTGGTCCTAATGGTAGATTTTTTTTTTTTTGAGACAGAGTCTCGCTTTTGATGCCCAGGCTAGAGTGAGTGCCATGGAGTCAGCCTAGCTCACAGCAACCTCAAACTCCTGGGCTCAAGTGATCCTCCTGCCTCAGCCTCCCGAGTAGCTGGGACTACAGGCATGCACTACCATGCCCGGCTAATTTTTTTTTTTACATATATTAATTGTCCAATTAATTTATTTCTATTTATAGTAGAGATGGGATCACTCTTGCTCAGACTGGTTTCAGACTCCTAACCTTGAGCAATCCGCCGCCTCAGCCTCACAGAGTGCTAGGATTACAGGCGTGAGCCACCGCGCCCAACCTGTTTTTTTTTTTTGTTGTTGTTTTTTTTGAGACAGTCTCACTGTGTCACCCCAGGCAGAGGTAGAATGCAGTGATGTCATCATAGCTCACTGCAACCTCAAACTCCTGGGCTCAAGCGATCTTCCTGCCTCAACCTCCTCAGTAGGTGGGACTACAGGCTTGTGCCACCACATCTAGCTAATTTCTCTATTTTATGTAGAAACAGGGTCTCTCTGTCACTCAGACTGGTCTTGAACTCCTAGCCTCAAGCATTTTCCCAGATAGCCTCCCATAGTGCTAAGATGATTAGAGGTGTGAGCCACCGTGCCTGGCCCTTTCATAAGTATTTCATTCAACAAAATTCAATAAGTATTTACATATCTAATATGTTCCAAAGACCTGTCTCCTTTTGGAACCACTTCTTATATTTCTCAAATTTTCATCTACACTTCTGATATCCAATCAAAATTTTAAACCTGAGATCACTGAAATTTTCTTTTATTCTAGATGTGTCATGGTTTCAGTTCCTACATTTAGGTTTCTGATGCATTTTAAGTTAATTTTTGTATATAGTTTGAGGTAAAGGTCAAGGTTCAGTTTTTGTCTCTCCTACCTTGGACCTATAAAAAATTTATTTTTTTGCATCTGGCTATCTAATTATGTAGAAAAGGTTATTATCCTTTCCTCAGTTATATAGGTACCTTTGTCAAAAATCAATTATCCATATATGACTTTTTTTTTATTTTCTGGATTTTCTATTCCATGCCATTGGCCCATTGTTGTTTTTTGTGATTTTTTTTGTTTTTTTTTTTTCCAGAGACTGGGTCTCACTCTTTTACCCAGGCTAGAGTGCAGTGGCACAATCACAGTTCACAGCAACCTCAAACTCCTGGGCTCAAGGGATCCTCCTGTCTCAGCCTTCCAAGTAGGTGGGACTACAGGTTTACACCACTACACCAAGCTATGGATTTTTGTTTGGTTGGTTTTATTTTTATTTTGTGTTTCTTTTTGTTTGTTGGTTGGTTTTTGGGGGGTGGGGTTTGGAGAGACAGGGTCTCATTATGTTGCCCAGGCTGGTTTCTAACTGCTGGGCTCAAGTGATCCTCCCTCCTCAGCCTCCCAAAGCACTGGGATTACAGGTATGTGCCACTGCACCCGGCCCTATTATTCTATCTTTATGTCAGTAGCATAACATCTTTATTCTTGTTGCTTCATTAATAAGTCTTGAAACCAACCATATATACTTGCATTTTTATGGGTAATTTTAAAATATAATTGCATTTCAATTTTTTTTCTTTTTTTAAATTTTTTATTTTCTTTTTAAAATTTTGTCATTTCTATATAATTTTAAAATGAACTGTCAATTTCTGTAAGAAAAATCTTCTGGGATTTTGATTAGGATTGTATTAAATCTATAGATCAATTTGGAAAGAACTGACATCTTAATATTTATTCTCTTAATCCATGAACATGTATCAATAAATAGGGCTTTACCAAAATCTAAAATTTTTGAACTCCTAAAGACACTCAGGGAAATGAAAAGGCCAACTATGGACTGAAGGAAAAATATATATTTTTTTTTGAGACAGAGTCTCGCTTTGTTGCCCAGGCTAGAGTGAGTGCCGTGGCGTCAGCCTAGCTCACAGCAACCTCAAACTCCTGGGCTCAAGCGATCCTTCTGTCTCAGCCTCCCAAGTAGCTGGGACTACAGGCATGAGCCACCATGCCTGGCTAATTTTTTCTATATATATTAGTTGGCCAATTAGTTTCTTTCTATTTATGGTAGAGACAGGGTCTCGCTCTTGCTCAGGCTGGTTTCGAACTCCCGACCTCGAGCAATCCGCCCACCTCGGCCTCCCAGAGAGCTAGGATTACAGGCGTGAGCCACAGTGCCCGGCCGGAAAAATATTTTTGAAACATATTTGACAAAGGACAAGTCAAATTTATATTAATATATATCAGTATATAAAGAACTCTTACTACTTAATATCAAGGAAAAAATTAAAAATTGGCAAACTTTGACAACTAAGCACATGAAAAGATGTTAAATATCTTTATTCCTTAAATACAAATTATTAATAAAACCACAATTAGATACCCACATTACACCCACTAGAATAGCTAAAATTAAAAAGACTGACAATACCAAGAGTTGATAATGATATGAAATAATTGGAACTTTCTTACACTGCTAATATGAACATAAAATAGTACAATCACCTTTGAAAACAGTTTGGCAGTCTCTTAAAAAGCTAAAATACACTCCAACCATACAACCCACTATTCCACTTTCAGATATTTACCCAAGAGAAGTGAAAACATATGTGCACACAGAGACTTGTACACAAATACTCAGAGTAGCTTCATTTGAAAGAGCTCCAGACTGAAAGTAACCCAAATGCCTATTACTGGGTGAATGCATAACACATTGTGGTTCATCCACACAACGGAATACTACTCATCAATGAAAAAGAATGAACTATTGATACATGCAACAATCCTTCTTATGGAAGAATCTCAAAATAAGCATGGTGAGTAAAAGAAGCCAGATAAAAGTGGGTCTACAATTATGATTCAACTTATATAAAATTCTAGAAAATGCAAACTAACCTATAGGACACAATGTGGATCATTGGTTTCCTGGAGATGAGGTAAGGGGTAGATGGGAAACATGGATTACAAAGGAGCATAAGGAAGCTTTTAGAAATGACATGTTCATTTATTTTGATTATTGTGATGGTTTTACCTGTATGTATATATGTGTGTACATTCGCACACACATGTCAAAATTTATCAAAGTGTTTAGCTATGTGCAGTTTATTGTATGTCAACTATACCTCAATAAAGCGGTTTTTACAATTTTTTTTTAATTACAAGGCACACCTTTATTCTTTTTTTTTTTTTTCTTATTTTTTTATTTTTCAAGGACATCACTTGAAGCAATACACCTTTATTTCTGATCATGATGAAGTAATAAGGGCCACACTTGCCCCCCATAAATGACTAAAAAAAAAAATGGACCAAATACATGAAAGAACTGTTTCCTAACAATAGACAATAGATAGTACAGAACTGTTACTCCTGAAAATGGAGAAACAGCAAGATGAACTCTACAGCAGCTCCATCTTTCTGTCTGGAAACATTTTCCTAATGGTGGCTGCAGGGAAAGGAACACAATCAGAGCCTAGTATGCTGAGCATGAGAAGACAGAGACTGGAATTTAGAGAGGTTGAATCTGTTGGGAGTTGAAGAACAGAGTTCCAGAGAAGACGAAGGGATGCAGAAAAAGAGCTCCACATAAGGCCCTGTTAGTCTTTCTTCAGTATTAGGCCAAACATGCCTAAGATAAAACTCATGAGTTTGGCCGGGTGCTGTGGCACACGTCTGTAATCCTAGCACTCTGGGAGCCTGAGGCGGGAGGATCATTTGAGCTCAGGAATTACAGACCAGCCTGAGCAAGAGCAAGCCCCCAACTCTGCTAAAAATAGAAAAGAAATTAGCTGGACAACTAAAAATATATAGAAAAAATTCGCCGGGCATGGTGGCGTATACCTATAGTCCCAGCTACTCAGGAGGCTGAAGCAGGAGGATCGCTTGAGCCCAGGAGTTTGAGGTTGCTGTGAGCTAGGCTGATACCATGGCACTCTAGCCCGGGCAACAGAGTGAGACTCTGTCTCAAAAAAAAAAAAAAGAGTTTGAGCAAATATAGGCATAGCAGTTGTAAATTGAGTTGAGTAATTCCCAGAATTACGAAGGGCAAGAAGCTCAAGTTTAACCAGCCAAAGTAGAGAGTTCTAGGTGATCAATGGAGACCCCAAAGAGGCCATCTCATAATATTAATGTTATGATTGAACTATCCCTTGACTAAAAGCTAGTCTAGATCTGTCAAAACAAAGCGCATAAGACTTTAAGTTATCAAACTAATCAATAATAGTTTAAAAGCTTTACTCCTTGAAGAAGACAACAAAATCCAGACATTCAACAATACAGCATTCATAACATCCAGCATCTAATAAAAAGTTATTATCCAGCTAAATGCTTCGAGTTAAAAAAAAAAAAACAAAGTTATTAGACATGCCAAAAAACAAGGAAATATGATCTCTGGCAAGGATAAAATTCAAATAATAGAAATAGTAAGAGATGTCAAATCAGCAGACAAGGACCTTAAATATTATATTCATGTATTTAAAGGAAAATATGAACACAATAAAGAAAGAAATTGAAAATATAAAAAGGACCCATATAGAACTTTTAGAGATTAAAAAAAATACATGTAAAATAAAACCCATGAGATTAACAGTGGATTAAACATTGCAGAAGAAAAAATGGTGAATTTAAAAGCACAAAGATTATATCAATGAAAAAAATAAACAAGTTCAGTTACCTGTGTGGCAACATTAAGTTAGAAAATACATGAAAATGTCTAATCTCATCCCTCAACCTAGAAAAGTGGAGAATTGTTGATCTCATAC